CCTGCAGGACGACAATGCCTTGTGAGTTGGCGCGCAGCTGCTCGTTGTTGGCGACGGTAACGTAGGTTGGGGGGGCGCGGCTGAGGTTCGAGACATAGCGCGTGGATCCCACCATGTGTTGTCCGCAGCAGCTGTCCAGGTACCAGGTGTTGTAGTTGTCGGTGTTGTTTCGGCGCAGAAGGAGCGCCAATCGCGGAGTCACAAGAGTCGCCTTGTAGCGCCTGTGAAAGTGAGGGTCTTCGTCCTCCTTCCATCCCACCGGTACGTAGTGCTGGTTGTCGTGAGGCGGGCTCTCCCGCAGTGTGAGCGGCAGGTTCCAATCCTGCTCGTCTTCATCGTACCGGTAATAGTGATCTTCAGTGAGGGGATTATTCCATCCCTCTTCTGGTTCAAAGAATCTTCCTTGAATCTCATCTTCCTCGTCAGGTTCATCGGTGCGGCGACGGCGCGTCGCCATGTTCGCGATGACGTTTCTGGGAGCTCCGGACTGAGGTCCCTGAGTTTGCTGATGTTGATGCTGGTGATGAGCAGGAGGACGAGGTGTCTGCTGCTGAGAATGACGAGCATCTTGTCGGCCGACCCAATTGTTTTGGTGAGTGGAATTTGGGTGGCGATTGTTGGATCGGGACTTGCATCGATCCGTTGAATGTCCGAAGACTTTGCATATTTTGCAATAGTGGCGCCTTGGTTGTCGTCGCTCTTCACGGTTGTCAGCGTAGAAGGCGAGGCGCTCTCGGCGCGGCGCGGAGCTTGTTCTGCTCGAATCCATGTCCTGTTGTTCGGACAGGAGTGCGGCGCATAGCGCGGCTTCTGAAATGATCCCTCGCTGTCGGAGTAGCGCTTTGCAGGGCTTCCACTCTGGCCCGAGTCCTTGGAGGACTATATTGACGAAGATCTCTTCTGAGATCGTACTCCCATGCTTCGTGATCTGGTCACGGATGTTGCGACAGCGGTTTATGTACGGATTCGCTTTCTCCCCGTGCCCCATTTTTATCTCCAGGAGTTGCTGCAGAAGCCTGCTGGCGGTGACCGAATCCTTCGGCTGGTAAACTTCAACGAGGTGCTTCCAGGCTTCCAAGGCTGGAGCGTCGCTTTCCTTGTAGGAGCGAATGTTGAGTTGTTCCGCAGGCGTCATGTTGCGTAGCAGCACACTGTAGGCCATGAGGGACTCACTGTAGTATTGAGCCCTGTCGACTTCGGTGTTTTCCACCGGTTTAGAATAGGAGCCGTCGAAGTAATGGTAGATCTGCGCTGTCTGTAGGAGGAGCTCAAGCTCAAAACTCCATGTATAAAAATCCTTGCCGTCAAACGCGGCAGTAGTCTTGATCTTTGAAACGCTAAGGAAGCGTGCTTGCGCAGAGTTGATAGCTTCATCACTTGGACGGGGGGCAGTTGTTGCTGATTTGTCTGTGTCGAGGGAGAAGGTTGTCAGAATATTATGCTCTAGCCTGTAGTGGGGTGCTCTATAGCGAGTACAACCCTTCTAGGGTTTGCTATTTGTATCCCCATTCTTGCTAGTGCAACCCCTCTTCTGCTCTTCTTTCTTCTAAACTTTATCATGCTATCAGAGCAGGTCGATCCTCTTGGATCGATCCTGTGGGTGGACTTACCACCTCCTCGCTTCCGCTGCAACTACCTTTCACTACTCGCTGAGCCGCACGCCCCCTGGCGTGCGGCACTTTTTCTTCCCGCCGTGCGCCCCGAGGCGCGCGGCGGTTTTCTGCCCGCCGTGCGCCCCGAGGCGCGCGGCGGTTCTCTGCCCGCTGTGCGCCCCGAGGCGCGCGGCGGGCTTATGCCCCGTCGTTCGCCGCGTCGCCCTCTGGTGGCGTCGCGACGGGCGACGGGGACCCGTCGCGACGGGCGACGGGGACCCGTCGCGGCGCACCGCCCCCGGCCCCGGCCCCGTCCCCGCCTGCGGCCCCGGCCCCGACGCCCCGCGTACGCCCCGGCCCCGTCCCCGCCTGCGGCCCCGGCCCCGACGCCCCGCGTACGCCCCGGCCCCGTCCCCACCTGCGGCCCCGGCCCCGACGCCCCGCGTACGCCCCGGCCCCGTCCCCGCCTGCGGCCCCGGCCCCGACGCCCCGCGTGCGCCCCGGCCCCGGCCCCGGCCCCGCCTGCGGCCCCGGCCCCGGCCCCGGCCCCGCCTCCCCCCCCCCCCCCCCCCCCCCCCCCCCCCCCCCCCCCTCCCCCTCCTTCGGGAATCCCCTTTTCCCGTCGCCCGTCGCGGCTCCTTCGGGGGCCGGCGAGTATGGGGGTGGCGGGTGTGTGGTATCCCCTGCTCCTCCTCCTCCTCCGTCTCCCACTGCTGCAGCTGCCGCTGAGGGGGGTGGGTGTGTGGGAGCCGATGGAGTGGTGCTAGGGGGTGGTTGTGTGGGAGACTGGGGTTTAGGGTTTAAGGGGGGTGCGTGGGAGTGGAGCTAGCGGTGTAGCAGCGGGTGTGTGTCGGGGGGGGTGAGACCGTTTGGGGAAGCTGCATGGAGGTTGCCGTCGTGTCGCCAGCAGCACCTGTATTCCGGGGACTTCGTCCGGTAGCCCAGTCGTAGCCAGCTGTGCCAGCCGCCCGTGGGTCCGTTGCTCGTCTGCCGCTACTTTAGCCGCGGGGCCTGTTACTCCTGTAGTCCGGGCGCTTAGTCCGGTAGCCGCTGTGCCAGTCTGCCTCCTGTTGCCCGTGTGTCTGCAGCTTCAGCCGTCGCCTCCTATCTCCTCTCCTCTCACTCTCTCTCCTCCTCCTCACTTGCCCGTTGTGACTACCACTAGCTTTGCTCATAATTGTTAACTCTAAACTATTGCTTCTTGAACTTGTGCTCAGAATGTGTGGTGACATTGTGATCCACCCTGAGCTTGTCCTGCTTTGCTTGCTCTGCTGATTATACCCCACTTTGGCTATGGGGGTGTGTCAGAATATTATGCTCTAGCCTGTAGTGGGGTGCTCTATAGCGAGTACAACCCTTCTAGGGTTTGCTATTTGTATCCCCATTCTTGCTAGTGCAACCCCTCTTCTGCTCTTCTTTCTTCTAAACTTTATCAAAGGTGTGCGCGGCGGTATCACGGCTTTTCTCAGCCGGTTGTCCAGGTTGTGCTGGTTGGGAAGTGGTTCCCGCATCGCCTTTGCGCAGGTCTTGTAGTTCTTTCTCCATAGTTGAAAGTCGAGCGAAGAGTTGCTCGAGGGCAGCAGTGCCGATCGTGGTTGTCGCCTCATTTGTCGCAGCCGGGTTGGTTTGTCCTTCAGCCGTCAGATTTGCTTGGCCTCCGGATCCTCCGGCCATCTTGGTCTTGGAGCGTGTGCCGCTCGCCAGATCTTGGTTCGGCGAATTTCACGGAAGTGAAGTTGCGAAGAATCCCTGAGTAGCTCTCATACCATGTTACAATCCCAAAAGGGACTTAGCGAAGGATCGCTCAGGGTCGATCGCAGAGTAGTGTTGCAGCGGAAGTTTGAATCTCAGGTCAGAGTGAATGTAAATGACTGAGTTGATAATAGCATGCATACATCGAGTTTATATAAGAATACAGGGGAATACGAAAAGACCTAGACTAGCCATGTACTCTAAGGGGTACATTCCCTTATTACAACCGAATTCAAACCGTGCGGCGCGGGAACCCGTTTCAAACCTGTTCCCGCTCATTTCACTTCAAATGTTTCTGCCAGCATCGGTCTTGGTCAGACGGTTGCTGCGTCGCTTCGACTCTTCTGACTCCTCGACTTCGTACTCGGTAGAGTCGGCTCCTGCAGCATACAGGAATGCCTTCTCATAAAGTTTCATATCGTAACAGTTCGACACCATTTCTGTGCCGCCACCACTCCCGCGTCGCTGACATCTTTCGCCCCTATATCAAGCTCGCAAAAGTACAATCACGTGAAGATTTTATTATTACTATCATTATGCCATTCCTGATGTCGTCTTGGTTTACCGAGCAGTAAAGGTGATAATTTCAAAATGCATGTATTGGTTTTCTTTTATAGAGCCTTTCCTCATGAATAAGGCCATCACCGTTTACAGTGTGCTTGTCGGTTTTGTGTTGTCAGGTTATTTTAGCCGTGTAATATATCTATTTACTCTGGGGCAGATGTACAAAGCACCATCATGCTAGTTTTCTGTTGTAGCCATGCTGTGTTTGTAGTTTGGGGTAGAATGCAAATTATGTTGGTAACATGATTTTATAGAATGTTATTGTTTTACTCAACAAATGCACATGTTATATCGAGGATTTTTGGCGCGGCTTTAAGCATACAATTTGACCACAGATTGACCCTAATCTGTCCATAAGGTGACCCCGAAGTCAGTCGTGGGACGGATTTGCCTGGGAGCAATGTGACCCAAAGAGCCAAATGTGACCCTTAGCTGACCTGTAATTGACCCGAATGAGACCTTGATGTTACCCATACGTGACCTCAAAGGAGCCTAAAGTGACAGTCCCAAAAGTGACTTTAGGGTCAGGTCGCGAAACGTCCCAAATGTTGCCTAAAAGTCACTTGGGGGTCAGATACATTTTGGAGATGTGTGACCTCTCTTCCCGTGTCTCTTGTCTCCCTGTTGTTAGTGCTGCCGCACTGTCACTTCTTCCGCGCTGCGTTCCTTTGTGCTCTGCTCCTTCCACCCCCTACCGTGCTCCACACTGCATGTCTTCTGTTCAGTTCAGCTTGCCTCTACCATTCTTAAACACGTCTTCCCATGTCCAATCCAACTCACCCCATCGGCTACTCTTCAACTTGCTGCTGCTACTTCTGTCGCCAGATTTGCGCTCGTGTATTCCAATTTATTAACCAGCCGATATGCTTCGTCACGTTGTCATTAAATAAAGAAAAAATCCCACCTTACGTTTTTGCTGTGCCACCTCCTTTCCACTGTACATGCCCGTCGTGCCTCCTTTTTGCGCTTGTTTTTACCAGTCTCCCATCCCATGCCCCCCCCCGTCTCATCCCCGTGTCTTCTTCAACCCACAGGGTCACACCTCAGCTGCTCCTTCACTGCCGCCGCAAAATCGTGCTTCACGCTACACCGTTAGTCGATCGTTTCTCTGCTGTCATTTCGTGAGGTGGGGATCTCATGAGGGGGGGGGGGGGGGGAGAATCTCGGGGGGGGGGGGGGGGGGGAGGGAGGGGGGGGATTTTATGAAGGGGGGAAGGGAGGGGGGAAATCTCATGAGTGGGGGGGGTTCTCATGAAAGGGGGGGGTTGATCTCATGAGGAAGGTATCCCTGGCTTCTTTGACCTTCACTGTCTCTAGCCCTCCCCTCCGCGTCCATCCCTTGCCTTCATCCTCTTCTACCACTGTGCTCTGCTCTCGTGCCCTCTTCCGTTTTTGCCACAGGCCACTCTTCGCCTGTTCATGCTCGCTCCACCCGCCGTCATGCTCATCTCTTCTTTCCATCCCTCGTATCATCCTCGTCGCCACACCTGCTACTCTCATTGCCCACTTCCTCTTCGCTGCGCCTTCACTCACTCTGCGGCTGCTCCTCCTCTGCCTCCCGCCCTTGTCTCCCAACCCTCCGACCTCTCCCGCCCTTGAATTCGCATCTTTCATTCCAGTCATTTCGAGTCTCATCAAAATGGCCCACCCGTGCTTTCATGTGATCCAACTTACTCACCTCGACTCCCATCTTATCGACATTCACTTGACCACCATACCCATATGCTCCATTGTTCTCCATCCCTTTCCTCCTCCTCCTCCTCCTCATCCTCCTCCTCCTCCTCCTCCTCCTCCTCCTCCTCCTCCTCCTCCTCCTCCTCCTCCTCCTCCTCCCCCTGCTCTCTTCCCTGCTGTTGCCTGTCCCCCTCTTCCCCTGCTGTTGCTTTTCCCATCCCCTCTTTGCACCTTCTTCTTCTACTGCTGCCACTCTTGCTTCCAATTTCCTGCTGCGCCGCTCCATATCTTGTTCCCGTCCTACCTCGCTGTACAGACACCCCTCTCGCCCTAATCTCAACCCCATACCCGCCCCCTTCCAACTTACCCCTTCCCTACTCGCCCTGCCGCGCCTCACTGTGCAAGCCGCTTATTCCCTCCGTCCCCTGTCACTGTCCCCCTCCTTCCATTCGCTCTGCTGCACCTCACTGTGTTGTGTTGTGTTGTGTTGTGTTGTGTTGTGTTGGGTTGGGTTGGGTTGGGTTGGGCTGCAGGCGCACGCCTTGCATTGGGCTCGTCCCATCAGCCATGGCTCGGATGACAGCAGTGGCCATGCTGCTGCCAGGGCTGCTGGTTGGCCTCGCTCTTGGCGTTGCCATCGCACTCATCAGCACAAAGCCTTCAACTGAGGATGTGAGTGCAGCGGTGGCATGCTCCCCTGCTGCTACTCCCTCATTCCCCTTTTCATCAGAGGGGGAGAGGGTGACATACTGCCCTCTTTTTCCCTCCCTCATGTAGCAGCATGTTGCCTCGCGTATGGAGGGGAGCATAAGAATAATATGCTCCCCTCTCCTTCCCTCCCTCTTGTGTGTAGCTGCATGCTCTTGTCATATCGTATGCATGATGGACGGGTGGTGTATTCCCACTCATTTCTGTGTGTGCATGGAGGTACGTGCGTGCTTGTATTTCTATAATTTATGTATGTATGTGTCCCACTTTGCATGCATGCACATGCTTTCTCCCCTTCAGGCCAATGCCATCACCACCTACCGCCAGCACACCCTTGCTCTCAACATGCCTCTTCATTCGATTCACACCCTGGTGGTAAGCATGGGGACGAATGTGGCTCCTGCGGCTGCGATCTTGCTCCAACCAACCATTCTGTCAGGATTTTTTTGTGTGCTTTCGCATTCTTGCTCACATGTCACTTTTTGTTCCATATATGCCATTGTACATACGCAGACATTGGATGCAATTGCTGCAATTGCTATTCTGGCATTGCTCTGGGGGATGGACGTGACCCACATGCAAGTCAGAGCATGGGTGCATCAACAGGGCTTGGCTGTGACGGCTGGGCTGATGAAGCTGAAGAGTGCAAGCAGCTGCCTCCTGGTATGCCATGTGCTCTGCCTTCCACCACCGTAGCTTTGCCTCTGCCAATGTTTCTTCCCTTCCCGCATTCCTGTTCCCCTTGCTGCTGTCCCTTATCTTTTGTTTCTCATCCTCCTCTCTCCCCCACTCACTCCACCACTCATCCTGCCTTCCCTTCCTCGCCCTCACCATGCTGCAGCCACGTGGAATATCCCCTCTGCTGCACAGCCCCATGTGAGCATACCCCAACTCACCATCGTCCTATCTCACCATGTGCGCAACCTCACATGTCACAAGTCTTTGTCTGTTTTAGTGTGCAGCGTTACCATATTTCTCCGGCCTTTTTCCTTCCTTCACCCTCTGCTCATGATCACCCTTGCTTTCCTCTCTGCACTCTCATATTCTGCAGCTCTCGCATGTTCTCTTCCTTAGCCTGATTTCTGTGTCTGTTGCCCATGCGCACCTGCGTGCTGCCATCATGCCATGTGCATTCGTGCTGCCATCATGCCATGTGCATTCGTGCTGCCATCATGCCATGTGCATTCGTGCTGCCATCATGCCATGTGCATTCGTGCTGCCATCATGCCATGTGCATTCGTGCTGCCATCATGCCATGTGCATTCGTGTTGCCATCATGCCATGCGCATTCGTGCTGCCATCATGCCATGTGCATTCGTGCTGCCATCATGCCATGTGCATTCGTGCTGCCATCATGCCATGTGCATTCGTGCTGCCATCATGCCATGTGCATTCGTGCTGCCATCATGCCATGTGCATTCGTGCTGCCATCATGCCATGTCCATTCGTGCTGCCATCATGCCATGTGCATTCGTGCTGCCATCATGCCATGTGCATTCGTGCTGCCATCATGCCATCTGCATTCGTGCTGCCATCATGCCATACGCATTCGTGCTGCCATCATGCCATGTGCATTCGTGCTGCCATCATGCCATCTGCATTCGTGTTGCCATCATGCCATGTGCATTCGTGCTGCCATCATGCCATGTGCATTCGTGCTGCCATCATGCCATGTGCATTCGTGCTGCCATCATGCCATGTGCATTCGTGCTTCCATCTGTAGGTCGCATGTCACTTCCACAATGCTGAGATGGATGAAGAGAATGGGTGAGGCTGTTGCGACTGTCATGCCGAGTATGGTCGGAACACACAAGTGGAAGGAGGCGATGGAGATGAGGATCAGGGCACTTGGCGTTCAACTGGAGGAGACAAGGAGTGAGTTGGAGGAGTGCGAGAGGAGAAGGGCAGCGGATATGAGGCAGGTGAAGGAACATCAGCATGCTATGATGCAGTTGAGGGTTGAGGAGCGGATTAGGCAGAGTCAAGGCGATCAAAAAGAAGCATGGCAGGTGAGTGAAATATCTCACAGGGTATGATTGTTTCACAGAGCGTGCATTTTCCACAAGGCATGCATTGTTGCTTCTTTCTTGTCAATCCTGCCCTTATTGTATTTCCGTCCAGAGCATCAAGTCAGCAGCGCATGGAACAAGTCTGAATCTGTCGAGGAACAGCTGTCTCTCAGATGCCATGCTCGCCCATGTGTCCACAATGACACACCTAACGAGCATTGACTTGACTTGACCTTTACCTCAGGCTTCAGTGCAGAGGGCATCAGGCACCTCTACAGGCTGCCATGGCTGGAGAAACTGTTCTTCGACCACACAGACGTCTCAGACAGTTCCCTGGAAGGCCTTGGGTCCTTGGCGAATCTTGAGCTCCTCCAACTAAAGCAGACAAAGGTGACTGATGCAGGTCTACAGCACTTGACGAGTCTTCCCGCTCTCGAAGGACTGGTGCTTTCTGAATGCAAGGGTGTGACGGATGCTGGCATGGTGCATGTGGGAAGGCTGACAGGGCTTAAGCGACTTGTGCTGGATGAGACGGCAGTCACGGATGCTGGTCTGCCACACTTGTCAAGTTTGTCTGCTCTCAAAAGGCTTGGGCTCTCTCAATGCAAGGGTGTGACAAGTGCTGGCATGGTGGATATGGGGAGGTTGACTAGTCTTGAGCTACTTTTGCTGCGTGGGACTCTTAGGATCGTAAACACCTTAGTCGGCAATAGTCTACTTGCTATTGCTTATCGTGTTCTCCACGATCTCCCAAATCCAACGATATGCGCAGCTCTGCTTGAAGTTGTCAATACACACTTCAGCAATTTCCAGAATCTGATTGGTTTCAATGTTGTGATTTCCAGAATGAGTACAAGCAGTTTTATAGTCAAGCAAGACACAAAATGCGATTCGTAACTTCACTTGTTTCCCAAGTAACCGCGTGCGCCTCGTTTCACCCCGAGTCGCACACACAACCGAACCGAATTCGGTGAACACTCCTCAAGACCGAATCTGGAACCTTCTCGAACGCGCCTTGGTCTCAGACCACAATTTCCCCCGTCGATCTCATCCTCGATGCTTCTCCTTCTCTCTTCCTCCATTTCTTTGGTTCCTTCTCGATTTCTCTCCCGCTTCTCACGCCGTAGGCTGATTTCCACCGTTTCACCTAGAATCATCCACGCGCTTCCATTTCGCCGTCATTCCGCCGTCGTAGAGACTTTCGCCATAGGTTCCGTGGTTGGGCGAACCAACCCTAACAGGGACGGCAGTCACGGATGCTGCTCTGCCACACTTGACAAGTTTGTCTTCTCTCAAAGACTTGGCATTTCCTGGATGCAAGGGCGTGACGAATGCGGGCATGGTGAATGTGGGGAGGCTGACGTGGCTTGAGAAACTTTGGCTGGGTGAGACGGCAGTCACGGATGCTGGTTTGCTGCACTTGTCAAGTTTGTCCACTCTCAATGGACTCTCGCTTTTTCGATGCAAGGGCGTGACGGATGCTGGCATGGTGCATGTGGGGAGGCTGACAGGGCTTAAACGACTTGAGCTGGTGGGGACGGCAGTCACGAATACCGGTCTGCCACACTTGTCAAGTTTGTCTGCTCTTGAATCGCTTGACCTTTCTGGATGCAAGGGTGTGACAAGTGCTTGCATGGTGGTTGTGGGGAGGTTGACTAGTCTTGAGCTACTTTCGCTGAGTGCAGTCACGGATGCTGCTCTGCCACACTTGACAAGTTTGTCTTCTCTCAAAGACTTGGCACTTTTTGGGTGCAAGGGCGTGACAAATGTTGGCATGGTGGATGTGGGGAGGCTGACGTGGCTTGAGAAACTTTATTTGGGTGAGACGGCAGTCACGGATGATGGTCTGCAGCAGTTAACAGCTCTCTCCTCTCTCAGAGTGCTCAGCCTTTTAAGGTGCAAGGGTGTGTCCAATGCTGGCATGGTGCATGTGGGAAAGTTGACAGGGCTTGAGCACCTGTATCTAGGTGACACGGCAGTCACGGATGATGGGCTGCAGCAGTTGGTTGCGCTGGCCAAGCTGACAACTCTTCAGCTCGCTCAATTGGAGTTGCTTTACAATGGCAAAGCACGCAAGGAAATTGGCGGGCAGGGTGGCAGGGAGTGATGATGAAGGGAAAGGAGACGATGTGATGCTGAGGAGAGCCCTCAAGGCAAGGAGTGGATTGCGGGGAAGTGTGTGCAAGATGTAGTTTGGCAAGGCTTTTCTTGTATACAGGTTAGAGTAGGACAATACTTGTGTGCCTAACGTTGAATGCATGCTTGATTGTGATATGGTAGACACATACGAAAACTTCCTCGCTCTGCCATTATGTATAAAGCAGTGGAGGCGAGATTTGTATCTTAGCATAGTAGTACTAACAGCAGGAACACATTGGATCAAGAAAGCAGTGGGCACGCATGTGCAACAGCTTGCTAGAAGGCACAGAGTTGACCGGGCTAAGTGGTAGGTCATGATGCACAGAACAGAGACGATGCACAAGAAAGGGGGCCATTCTCATTCGGAAGCATATATTGAATGCACTCAGCAGAGGCTATTGGAGATGCAACCCCCCATATCACCAGAACCCAGCAAGCGGCGCCAGGAGCATATTCCTGAGGAATATGAGGCACGAGATTGACATCCCCATGCATGGTGATGTTAGAATCTAGTAGTAGGAATGTGTTGACTAGATTAGGGTTTGGTACAAATTTGAAACCCTAATGGGGTTGTACCCCATATTGGCTACCCCACTACAGCCTACACATATATAACATGCATATAATTCGACAGGTGAGTGGGGTTGGTGGATGGGGTGCATGGGTGGACGGGTCGGGTGGGCGCCGCGTGTGCATGTGCATGGTGAGATGAGTGGGTGGGTGAATGAGGGGGGGGGGGGGGGAGATGAGTGCATATGCATGGTGTGATGTGGGGCATGGTGTGTGCATGGTGTGAGCATGGTGTTAGCATGGTGGTGTGTGCATGGTGTTTGCGAATGTGTGACAGCTATGCTCGGTTGAGTGGGAGGCCCCCGACCTTTCATCCACACCCCCAGGCAACATCCTCCTAGTTTCTCTCTCTTCCCATCATCTTCCCCATCACCTTTCCCTCCCCTCCCACCCCTCCCACCCCTCTTTCCTACCTTCCCCTCTCATTTCCCTCTTTCCTCCCCCAGGAGGAAAGTGTAATTACATTCCCACAAGTTGCAACAACGTATTCTATCTTTCCCTTCCCATCCTCCTCCACGCAACACAAGGGCGTGGTGTCTGTTGGGAGTGGCGAAGCTGCTGCTCCGCACTCTCCCCTCACGGGGACATCATCCACACGTTGGGGGACAATCTCTTTGGAAGCTCCGACGTGGTGGATCAGTCCAATCAACCAAGGTTGCTTTGAGAGCCACTCACTTCACTGCCTTTGGAGGATGTGCCCTACTGCCTCGCTGTGCGCCTAGGAGGCCATTCCGCTGTTGCTGCAACAGAGAAGGAGCGTTCGAGGTGACCGTGTATGGAATGGGTGGTGTGGTGTCGTAAGGTAGAGTTGTGTGGTAGTGTTGGTGCGATGTGCTCCATCTGTTGCTGCCTTGTGAGGGGGCATTGATGGGCAGCGTTGGCCCTCCCCACCAACTGGCCACCCTCCTCTTCTCACCCTTTTTTTTCATGTCTCAGTTTCCTCCCCCTCGCCCTCCCTCCCCCTCCCTCCCCCCGACCTCTTCCCTCCTTCCCCATCCCTCCCACCAGCTAGGTGGTCCCATCAACTCGCACATGCCTCTATTCATCTCTCGTGCAACCTTTTGACCTGCTGCCCACTCCCCGTTTTCTCACCCACCTTTCTCTTTTCCCTCATTCATCCCTTCCCCTTAGTTGGTTGCTCTTACTTTAAAGCTCAAGGCCCAAATTGCAACCGAGCAAGTTTCCGAACCCCCTCCATCAAGAATACTAATCTTGCCCCTCGCGGTCTGCAATTTGGGCCTTGAGCTTTAAGGGGCGCTCTGTTAAGGCAAGCTCTTTCCATGACCACCCCTTTTCCCCCAAACCCCCCTCCCATTTCTCACTCCCAATCCTAAACTCTCTCTTCCAGCCGGTCAGGTGCATTGCCTAGCACAAGCAAGCCTTAATTTGAGACTATCTTCTAGGCGCATAGAAGAATATACACGTTACACCGATGTGAGTATTCTATGTTTTGCCTAAAGCTTTGAGACGTGCTACTACTTTTAATTACATACATATGGGTACTATTTCTACGAATGTGAGCAGTCCATCATTTGGATGTTGTCCAGCTGTGCATGCACATCCCATCCCATACCTCACCTCATCCCATACCTCACCTCATCCCATACCTCACCTCATCCCATACCTCACCTCATCCCATACCTCACCTCATCCCATACCTCACCTCATCCCATACCTCACCACATCCCATACCTCACCTCATCCCATACCTCACCTCATCCCATACTTCACCTCATCTCATACCTCACCTCATCCCATACCTCACCTCATCCCATACCTCACCTCATCCCATACCTCACCTCATCCCATACCTCCCCTCATCCCATACCTCACCTGATCCCATACCTCACCTCATCCCATACCTCACCTCATCCCATAGCTCACCTCATCCCATACCTCACCTCATCCCATTCCTCACCTCATCCCATACCTCACCTCATCCCATACCTCACCTCATCCCATACCTCACCTCATCCCATACCTCACCTCATCCCATACCTCACCGCATCCCATTCCTCACATCATCCCATACCTCACCTCATCCCATACCTCACCTCATCCCATACCTCATCTCATCCCATACCTCATCTCATCCCCTGCCTCATCTCATCCCATACCTCATCTCATTCCATACCTCATCTCATCCCATACCTCATCTCATCCCATACCTCATCTGGTACCTCATCCTACTGTGGACATCCCACTGCACTGTTGTCGCATGCCCACCCTTCACCCATGTATCCCCTTCAATAATTACCAGCATAATCCCCACAAGCTCAGAGGGACACGATGAATGCCCCACAACAGCAACAGCCGAGTCAGCAGCAGTAACAAGCATGGTGGGGGGCGCATTGGTGAAGGGCAGGCATGGAACCGGGTGGGTAGAGTGGTCGGGGAGCAGTGAGGGGATGCAGCTGCAACAGCAATTCTATCTTGTTGTACTGAATCCATGACTGCATTGTGGTGAGCGTTGGTGACACACACCGTCCTCGGAGGAGAAGAGGGCGAGCTGCTGAGCGGAGCACCACTGTAGCACACACTGAGACAATCTCTACTCAGTCGCAAGTCTTCATTGCCTGCATGGCTTATGCATGCCACGCCAATCCAGATCTTCTAGGGCATCATGTTTTCAGAAAAGGGCCAATAGTTTGCACCAGCAGCAAGGCTGCCTGCCATTCCACCCAATCAAATACCTATTGTTTTTTTCCCTCATATGGGCAGATTGTAAACATTCTGATTGGTACCGTATCGTTCGAACATTCTGAAGTTGACAGAAGGAACCAAATGGGGCATGTGAGGTGGACAGCAGCAGCACATAGAATGCACCTGTTTAACCCTGCGTGAGCAGTTTATATAAAATGTGCCAGCATGAAAGGCACAGCCCGCAAATCACTCTCCAACTCTATGCAGCCTGCTTTTGTTTATTTGCCGGAACCAAGATTACAGGCAAAGGCTTGCCCAGTTACTAAGTAGTAAACAGCTCTCCTCAATCCACATTCAATGTCCACAAGCCTCTGCTCAGTATCACTTAGTCTCCCTTCCCTTCATCATCACTCCCTGCCACCCTACCCGCCAATCCGCCAGCGTGCAGCATCATTCATAATGCAACCCCCTTCTGGCGGCCAAAGAGATGCCAGCTTGCTCAAGGCAGACAGCTGTTGCAGCCCTTCATTCGTGACTGCAGTGTAACCTAGAGCAAGGCCCTCCAGCCCTGTCAGCCTCCCTACATGCACCATGCCAGCATCCGTCAAACCTGTGCATTCACCAAGCGCCAAGTTTCTGAGAGAGGAAAGGCAGGCCAGGTGCGTTAGACCAGCATCGGTCATCTTGGTACCATGGAGACAGAGGCACTTGAGACTGGTCAGGGACCCAATGCCCTCCAAGGCGCTGTCTGCGATATAGATGCGATGCAGGTTTAGCCACTCCAGCAGTGGCAGTCTGTAGAGGTGCTTAATGCCCCCCGCACTGAAGCCTGAGGTAAAGCTCAAGTCTATGCTCGTCAGGTGGGTCATCGTGGACATATGGCCGAGGATGTCATCCGAGAGGCTGTGAAGATTACTGAGGTTCAGATGAGACGCTTGTGATGCTGATTTGATTGCCTGTAGCAACGGGCGGAGATGGAATACATAATGAGCGACAAGAAAGCGAAGCATGGCTTGTGAAACAATACATGCCCTGTGGGACAATACATGCCCTGTGGGACAATACATGCCCTGTGGGACAATACATGCCCTGTGGGACAATACATGCCCTGTGGGACAATACATGCCCTGTGGGACAATACATGCCCTGTGGGACAATACATGCCCTGTGGGACAATACATGCCAGTGAAACAGTACATGCCTTGTGGAACAATGTATTCCTGGAGAACAGTTATCCAGCACTCACCTCCAATATTTTTTTCCGATCGCCTCCACTCTGCCAAATTTCCATCTCAATATTCAACTTCATGTCTTGTATCCTCTGCCATTCCTTGCAGGCTGCCAATTCCCCCATGACATGTGGCCAATTCATCTCCTGCACCTCCCTCCTCCTCTCCGCCCTCTCCCATGCCAGGTCCGCTCTCATTTCATCCTCTCGCTTTCTAGCCTCCTCTCTCAGCTCTCTCAAAACCGATTCCCGTACTCTCTCGGCCATATCATCCTTGTGATCTGCCAGCTCCCTATTCAGTGCTGCCAATTCTCTCTCCCTTGTCTCCACCAGAGCAGCAATCGCCACACTCCTCTCGCTATCGCCCAGTGCTGGCTTCAATTCATTCACGACATTCCCCAAAACCTGATTCTTCTCCTCCAGCATCAGCACTTGCTCCTTCTGTCGAACAACCTCCTTCCTCACTGCCACCAGATCCCCCTTCACGGCTGCCAACTCCCCTCTCACCAATCCGAACAGCCCTTTTACTGCTTCAGTTATCGCATTTGCTTCCCTATCCGCAGCCATAAGAGCAGCTTGAGTTCAACCTCCACCCTCCTTACTGTAAAATGCCCAACGAGGATGGCACTGTGGCATGTCGAAATTGGTTGGAGGAGAATACGTGGATGCAAACAGGGACACACACAAAAGAAAAAAAAGGAGCTGGAGAACTTGCAATCCAAAGTAGGAATGAGCCAAAGCTACTACTCCAAATGGTCGAGGTTGAGGACTAGCCACGTTCAAATGTATCACTTGACCGTGGGGGTGGGAAGGCAGGCAGGTGGGTATTTCTGAGTGCAGGAAGGGTATTGGAAGGGTGTTAAGAGAGAAGTGGGCTTTGCTTGCCTTGTCCTGAGCAAGAAAATATTCGATCCAGAAGCGAAGTAAAGAGGCGGTGGAGAGGGAATCACGCCCTTGACAGCGTGCCTCCACGCCCGAACCTCCTCCCACATCTCACTATCCAACTGCTTCCACTTGCCCTCCCTGTCCCTCCCCTGCTCCGCACCTTTCCCCTGCGTTGCACCCTGCGCTGAAAGCCGAGCAAACCTCATTGGATTTGGCTCCTCCTCCTTGGCCCACGTCGCTGCAATTACCATGCAAGCATTCGTCAACATCAGGAACTCTCTTCCCTCCGCAAGCCCTTCCAACCGTCCTCTTACATGCCTCCAGTTCACCTTTTCCTCTTCCTTAACCTCTTTCGGCCTGAACATGTTGATTAGGGTGTGCGCCTCTTCGGTTTGGTCGGGAGGGAAGAGGAAGAGGAAGCGGTGGATGAGGGTGGAGATGGGGCGATAGGCGAAGGAGGCGAGCAGGGCGACACGGTTGATAATCACGGCGTGCCTATAGTGGCACTCCCAGCAACACGTGCATCTGGAAGGCTCTCTGTCTGCTGCGATGGCTTCGACGAGGTACTCCACGTCTGCCAGCGTGCCAATGCTTGGGTGACTTTTTGAAGCTGCAGCTGCAGGCGCTGCTGATGACGATGCTGCTGCTGCTGCATTTGTTGAAATTCTTCAGTCCACAATGACCCGATACACATTCTCAAAGATTTTCTTATATAGAATCCTCCCTTGCACGTCATCAGCAAGCTTTATAGCAGCTTCATCGCCAGCAGGTAACTCTTCCCACTCCCAAGAGGAGCCTTGCCGAAGCAGGGGCTCCGGCAAGGTGCCGGACCTGATCAGCAAGCTCGGGAGATTACGGAATGGGTGGCAGAGGGACAGGAGCTTCTGTTTTGGCTTGACGCAGGTTCGGAGCGCACATGCCTTCGGAGGCTCCAGGTATGGGCCATAGGCTCGGACCCACTTAAGAATGCAGCTCACCCTCCACGTCAGTACAGTCACCAGCGTGTTACTGGTTGCAATTACCGCCTCCCAGCCGTCCATCATGCAGGCTCCCATGCTCTTTCCCTCACCACCTTCCCCCTCTCTTTCTGCAGCCATCCCTACTCTCTTCCTGGCAGCCTCAGTCGCAGAATTTTCCAGCTTCACTCTGTACTCGTTATTAGCATCTGTGAAAAATATCCGGCAAGCGTCCTCGGAGAAACTGGGATTGGAGAGAACTGTAGCAACGGCAAAGGCGAAATCAGTGGCGTCAGTACCACTCACAAACATGCCCTTGGGAATACCGCTGCTGCTGAAAGCATTAGAGACGCGTGAGGTGAGGGAACCATTGGAATCACCGCTGCTGCTGGAAACGGCTTCGGGGACTCTTGCCCCATTTCGTCCTTCATGCGCAAGAAGACAAGCCATACCGCCCACATACCTGTCCCACACAGGACCCTCCAGCCCCTGCCTCCACTCCCCACTGCTGCCGGCACCACCATCACCTTCCCCTCCGCGCCTTCCACCCTTTCTCCCTGCCTCCCGCTTCCCCGCATTCCTCCCTTTTCTCCCGCCATCCGCTATTCCGCCCTTTCCCCTATCCTCCCCTGCTCCACCCTCGCTCTCTCTGTGTGCCTCTGCACCACCAGGCAGCAGCGGCAGCACATGGGCTTTAAACCCGTCATTCTTCTCCTCTCCGCCCTTCACCCCCAGCACCTGCACCAGCACCGATGCCATAATATCTTTCTCTCCCTGCCTGTGTGCCCCTAGCTCCTCCACAATAGGAGCGAAGAGGCCTGTAAAGGAGGCAAGCTGAGCCCTCCATAAAATCACAAAGCGAGGAGAATTCGCTACAAGCACAAGGAAGGCGCAGAGGGACACAGCGCAACGGTAGGAGGCCCAGCAGCTGCTGCAGCGCCAGCAGCAGTGCCAGGGGACCGAGGCAGGGGGGGTGGGCGAGGGGAGAGCGGACGTGGAGGAGGAGGGGGAGGAGGAGGACGTGGCACCATGTATATCAGGAACAGCAGGAGCATCTGTAGCAGCAACGGTTGCAAGAAGGAGGGTTCTGATCCTCCCCAGGTCCATCAACACGCCCACACGAGGCTCAGCCATCCACTCAAGCAGCATCGCCTCTGCGCAAAGGTGAGGGGCGCTTTCAGGTCTGTACTCACCAACGCCTCCTGCTGCTCCCATCTCGGCTGCCCCCTTCTGCTTCTCCGCCCGTACTTTTGCTCCCTCTCTTGCTGCGTTATCTCCCGTATCACCTCCCAGCGGCCTACCTAGTCCCTGTCTGTCTGGTGATGCGAGGGGAATGGACTTGGGCAGTTGCTGAAGCAAGTGGCGGCGAAAGTCGTTGAGGCTGGGAATGGCAAGAGCCAGTTTGCCCTGGGTGCCAAGCACCCGGTTGAAGCAGCAGAGGCAGGGAGACTCGGACTTGGAGCAGCCAGAACTGGATGGGATCAGCTTACCCTCTCTATCGGGTTCGCTCTTATTCCTCCCCGCGGCAACCTCCTCTTTCTGACTGCCACTCTCTCTCTCATCCTTATCGCTGCGATCGCCCACCTGGTCCCACTTGGAGTGGTCGATGGGGCGACTCGCAGCAGCAGACGGTGCACTGACTCCAGGATCCATGGCTGCGGACACAGCCGCAGTAACAGAAACGGGCCGTGCTATATCGAGGTGTTGCTGAAACTAGCACTGAATGTATTGCTACCTAAGATGGGTCCGTACGTCGCTGGACCTACGTAAACGTAATGTTACGCGTAATATTACGTTTACGTTTACGTACGCGTAAATACGCGTAACTTAGGTCCGGGCACGAAAAAAAATCCGGCAAAAAAAAAAACGTTATGAAAATTGGCCCTGGAGAAGAGAGCATCATTGCGGCACAACCACTCAGGGCAGCACATACAGCTGCGTACGAAATGCTATATTTAGGATTGACGGTTCTTTCATAACCGTTATGCTATATTTAGTGACTATCTACCTCTCTATTTAAATTCGCAGCACCATCTTTTAGATCCTAACTTAGGTCGTACTTAGGAACTCTACGGTTAGAGGATCTAGAACGGAGATCTACGTAGAAGATGTGAGAGGATTAGGTCGTGGATCTATAGCTCTAGCATCGAGCGAAACCTTCAGAGCCCCGCGTTAGTCACGGGGCTGGAACATAAGGACAGGTGGGGAGGTCGAAGTGATGACACTTGGGGGGGGCGGGGGGGACGTTGACTCGCGATTTTGAAATTGGAGGGAAAGCCCGAAGCGATTTTGTGGACCTAGCAAAAGTAAGGGCGTGTCCCACGTGTTCGTTTTACAGCACGTGAATCACTGTTCAGACTGGTGGTCACGGTTCAGAACGGTGAAGCAAAAATACCATTCCAAAACGCACAACACCTTTCTCCATCGCAAAACGTGAACGAAAAGAGAACTCGTGGGACACGCCCTAACGCGAAACAAAGTGACGCGCCGATACAAACAATGGTAGGCAACAAAATTTCTGGCTGGAGATTGTAATTTCGTAGCTTGAACCATAACATTATCATAGATAATGTTAAAACCCGCGTCTCATATTTCTTCCATCCAACCAAGAGTAATACGCTCGAAACCGAGTTACCACTCAAACCAGTCGCAACTTTGTTGGGTTCCGTTGGGAGCACCTGTGATTGGTTGCAGGCCCATCAGGTTGGGCAAGGCAGATGCACGACTGCCCAACCGTTTTTGCGAGAAACACACCACGTTGTGCGACGAAGGTTGGCAACACAGAGAAAGCAAGCGTAATACCACAGCAGAAAAATACGAGACTCCAGATCAATCCGGATGCAGCTGGAGAGGAGAGTGACCTCCACACAACCACTACTTAGTTTTTTGGGTTGCGTAGCAACCCTATATATTTGGTTTCACATCTTGGGGATATCATCTCGAGAGTGATTTTTTAAGTACTCTTTGAAGCACTCGTTTGAACGTTTTAAGTCTGTGTTCAAACGAATGCCTCAAGGAGTGAATGAACATCACTCTTGAATGCGATATCCCTGAATGTGAAGCCAAATACGTACGTACGTATCATGTTGAAACCATGAATTTGCTCAACAGTCCCAACTCGTCGATAAATACGGCGGATGGTACGGCCGAACATAAGATTCATGCATCAACATGAACAAATGCAAACAAATGAACAACAAGGTATGAGGTGATATGGATGCTTCAAAATAGGCATTAAAATGCATCATATAGCAACAGAGGCTGATGGGTGTCAAACATATATAATATAGCCTGTGTAGGCTGTAGTGGGGTAGACGTTATGGGGTACAGATTTTCTAGGTTTTCATACTTATACCCATCTCCTTTCTAGTCCACACCATTCCTCGTTATTATTCTCACATGGTATTAGAGCAGAATCGTTCCTAGGGCCCACCGAACGTTCCGCCCTGCCCTAACTGATTTTTTTTTTTTTTAGCTGCCCCTGCAGCCGCGCTGCCCTTGCAGCCCGCGTGCTGCCCCTGCGACCGTGCTGCCCCTGCAGCCGTGCTTGCCCCTGCGGCCGCGTGTCGCCCCTGCAGCCCGTGGACGCTGCCTCTGCAGCCCGCGAGCCGCCCTACGAGCCGCGTGTTGCCCCTGCAGCCCGTGGGCGCTGCCTCTGCAGCCCGCGCGCCGCCCTGTCGAGCCGTGCGGAGCCCCTGCAGCCCGTGGGCGCTGCCCTTACGACCTGCGCGCCGCCCTGCCGAGCCGCGCGTCGCTCCTACACGTCGCGACGCCCCTACGGGACCCGCGCGGCGTCCCCCCCTGCTCGTCGCGGCGCCCCCGGGGCGCCGTCCCTGCTCGTCGCGATGCCCCCTGGACGTCGCTCCTACTCGTCGCGACGCCCCTGCGGGACCCGCGCGGCGTCCCCCCCCCCCTGCTTGTCGCGGCACCCCCTGGACGCCGCCCCTGCTCGTCGCTGCGCCCCCGGGGCGTCGCCCCTACTCGTCGCGGCGCCCCCTGGGCGCCGTCCCTGCTCGTCGCGGCGCCCCCGGGGCGTCGCCCCTGCTCGTCGCGGCGCCCCCCCCCCCCTGGGCGCCGTCCCTGCTCGTCGCGGAGCCCCCCCCTGCAGCAGCTGCCGCGAAGCCCCCTGCAGCAATCGCGGCCCCGTCCTGCAGCAGTCGAGGCCCCGCCCTACAGCAACTGCCGCGGAGCCGCCTGCAGCAGTCGTGGCCCCGCCCTGCAGCAGCTGCCGCGGAGCCCCCTGCCGCAGTCGCGGCCCCGCCCTGCAGCAGCTGCCGCGGAGCCCCCCCTGCCGCCGTCACGCCCCCCCCCCCTGCCGCTGTCGCGGCCCCGCTCTGCAGCTGTCGCGACCCTGCCGTCGCCGCCGTCGTGCGCCTACCCTTCCCGCCACTGGTGAGCACCTTCCCTACCCGCACTTCCCGCGCGCCTGCCTTACTAGCGCGCTGCCGCGCCTGCCTGCCAGCTGAGCCGCGCTGCTCAGCCGCGCCGAGCCGCCCAGCCGAGCCGCGTCGTACTGCCGAGCTGTGCAGCCCTAATCCACTGAGCCTCACTGCTGCTACTGCTGTTCCTGCTGTTAGTGCTGCTACTACTGCTACTGCTGCAATTGGAGGTGGCCAGATGCAGCTTCAGCGACGTCCGCGCGAGTCTCTCACGCCCCAGCAGCTTCGTGAGTGGTACGCTAGTTGGGGGTGTGGCGGTGGCCGTAGTGGCTGTCGCCCTGGAGCTGGTCAGTCGGGAGTGTCTGGCAGTGGCCAGATGCAGCTGCAGCGGCGTCCGCGCGAGTCTCTCACGCCCCAGCAGCTTCGTGAGTGGTACGCTAGTTGGGGCTGAGGCGGTGGCCGTCGTGGCTGTCGCCCTGGAGCTGGTCAGTCGGGAGCGTCTGGCAGTGGCCAGATGCAGCTGCAGCGGCGTCCGCGCGAGCCACTTACGTCACAGCAGCTTCGTGAGTGGTACGCTCAGAGTAGAGGGTCTCGGAGTACCGTTCGCTGCCCGTACGTCATTCGCACAGGTGATCGGGCTGGTCAGGGTTGCGGGACGGTTGGCCACACGCAGTCCCGCTGCTTCGCCCGTCTGAGCAACGCCTGGCGTACCGAGTTTGGCGACGAGGCTGAGCTCCCCACCTGGCTGGAGCTGCTTAGGCAGAGGGTAGATATCTTTGCTCTTGACTATGATGCTATCCTCACTGCCATGTATGGATTGCCTACTAGTGCTGAGGGTGCCTGTTACCTGTGTGTGCCTCCTGACCCAGGTATAGAGTCTACTGCTCTAGGTGCTGGTGAGGCTGCTGCTCTAGGTGCTGGTGCGTCTCCTGCTCCAGGTGTCGGTGAGGCTGCTGCTCTAGGCGCTAGTGAGTCTGCTGCTCCAGGTGCTGGTGAGTCTGCTCTCTCTGGTACTACGCCCGCTGCGGCCTTGCACACTTTCACCCTTGACTCGGGTGCTTCCCGCTCCTTCTTTCGCGACTGCACCACACTCTCGCCGCTCAGTCGGCCAGTGGCAGTCTCTCTGGCTGACCCCTCTGGGGGTCCGGTCCTTGCACACTCCTCCACGGTCCTGCCGTGTCCGGCAGTCCCGTCTGGCTCTCTGTCTGGCCTCCACCTCCCCTCGTTCTCCACGAACTTGGTGAGTGGAGCTGACCTTCAGGACGTGTGGGTTGACCAGTTCACTCCTGGAGGTCAGCGGGTGTCCCACTGTTCGTGTACTCGGACGGGCCGGCACCTGGCCACGTTCACCCGTCAGCCTGGGTCGAGTCTGTACACCCTGACTACCGTGTCTCCTCCGGTTGCTGAGTCTGGTCGGGTAGCCGTGTCGGGTCAGGTGTTTGCTGCAGCGTCCCGGTCTGGCCCTGAGTCTGCCCCCTGCTCGTGTCGCCTCCAGTCTCACGAGACTCTCCTCTGGCACCACCGCCTTGGTCACCCCTCCCTGCCTCGTCTTCGAGGCATGGCGTCCCGGGTCCTTGTCACTGGTCTTCCCCCGTCTCTCCCTCCCCTTCCCCCGGGGCCTGCCCCTACCTGCGTTCCTTGCGTCGAGGGGCGGCAGCGCGCCGCTCCTCACTCCTCCGAGTTCCCTACGACGGAGGCTCCCCTGCAGACTCTTCACATGGACGTGTGGGGCCCAGCCCGCGTCCGTGGACAGGGTCACGAGCGCTACTTTCTGCTGGTCGTTGACGACTACTCGCGTTACACCACAGTCTTCCCCTTGCGCCGCAAGGGTGAAGTCACTGAGGTGCTGATCGACTGGATCCGCGCTGCTCGTCGTCAGCTCAGCGAGAGTTTCGGCTCGGACCTTCCTGTTCTGCGTCTGCACTCAGACAGAGGTGGAGAGTTTTCCTCCGACCTTCTGAGGGCCTTCTGTCGTGCGGAGGGCATCCGCCAGACGTTCACGCTTCCGGCCTCTCCACAGCAAAATGGGATTGCTGAGCGCCGCATTGGCATGGTCATGGACGTCGCTCGTACGTCCATGATCCATGCGGCTGCTCCCCATTTTCTGTGGCCGTTCGCGGTTCAGTAGGCGGCGCATCAGATCAACCTCCAGCCCCGGGTCTCTGTTCCGGAGACCGCACCTACTCTGCGGTGGACGGGGAAGGTTGGCGATGCGTCTGTGTTCCGTGTCTGGGGATCTCGAGCTTTCGTCCGCGACTTGTCTGCGGACAAGCT